TGTTTTTACCACAATATAAGGAGCTAACTTTTCCGTTGTATAAATTGATACTGTCAGAAAATAACCGTTGTTGTAAATTAAAATGTGACACAATAATAGAAATTTTTGTCCCCCTATCATTTTCAATCCAAAAGCCTATTGCTATTGGGAAGAAGTACTAAAATGTAACTAATTTTTATAACAAACAGGACCGTTCTTCTTTAATTGGAGTTCATTTTGTTTCCAATTTGTGTGCGGAGTATGAATATTATAATATTGATAATATATTAACCAAGTTGGTCAGATTACCATTTGATCATGGATTTGTTGTAATCTCCTTTCACCTTTGTTACACTATTCCTGAATTGTTATTACACATATTTTCTAAAAATATATTATATATAACAAACTTTTATATTATATATTGTGTTTAATGTGTATATTATATGAAAATTGTTATTTAATATGCATAGCAAATAGCTGTATTAACTGCAAATCAAACATTAATAATCAGGTTTATAATTTTGCAATATTTAATCCTATGTAAATATGTCTCTTTTCATTGTAATTTTATTACCAATGGAGCGGGAAATTGGGAATAATACTGCTTTGTGCATAGTAAAGTTCCTAGACGAAAATATGGTTGAGGGTGTACCTGTCAGTTGGTTTAAGGAGTAAGGACCTAAACCATTGCTATTTTCCTCCATATAAAGATACAACAGTATCTGAAGCAATACGTCTAAATGAGGAGCCATCAAATTCATGGAAGCTTTATAACTGCAAAATATTGTCAAAATCAAAAATAGTTGACTACCCAACAGCTATGACTTGTAGAGCGCAATATGAACCAGAACTTTCCAAACATAAAAAAAGAAATACAAAATATGATGATACAATATCTGATGAAGAGTACAGTATTCCTAATAAGCGAACAAATTTGATAACATTCCCCACCGACATTTGGTAAGATTTATCATTTTAAATATATTATAATGTTATTATTTTTTTTCTGAAGGTTATAAGTTAATATAAGTTATTATTTTTTTTCAATTTTTAATATTATTTTAGACGATTTTATAAATAGCAATAATAGTAATAATGATATTTTGCATGTAGGTACCTGAAAATGTAACATCAAATGATTTTCTTATGAGCCCAACAGCTATTACTGATGTGTTAACTAATAATATAGTGGGTACAATTGACACTATGGATGATCTACAAAACTATATTGATACAAATAATAAAACATTTTTATTTAGTTAGTGGATATTATCTGATCAATTAAATTACATTTTGCGGAAGATCTACCTTGATTTGTTCTAATTTTTTGTTTAAAGAAATATATTATAAATATTAAATATATATATATATATATTTTTTTTTTTTTGGCAGAAATTGAAGACCTAAGACATGAATAAATTAAACTACATACAAGTAAGTATATCTAGCCAAAATTAACCAATAAAGACTACTTTTTATTATTGAACAAATTGTCTGTTGTTTTTCTATACAATTTTACGAGTAGCATTTAATCTATTGCATAGGTATTCATTGAATATTTACTATAACTTTTCATTTGAGATTCTTTATCTAAATACAATTATATGACATTTTAGTAGTTAAGAAATGGCAATCAGACACTTCAAGATTACTCATCACAATAGGAATTCACCAAAAAGAACAACTCAAATATTTGGAAAATATTCAATACCTAAATATTTAATAATACTTCTAATGATACAACAATTAGTAGGTAATGTAGGAAAAATAAAAAAGACGTAAAAAAAGAAGAAATTATATACTCCCAGTTTCCAATCACTTTGTTGGAATATTTATACATATGAGATAATGAAGTGAAACAACTAAAATTATCAAAAGTCAACGTTTATGATGCACATTAAGTTTTACATTTATGTTATGTTAACATAATTATAATTATAATCATAGTTATTGTAATCACTAAATAGATAATACGAGGGACGTCCAGAAAGTAAGGTTACAAGGGCTGTGTAGGACGAAGGGAATTTTGTTTTTTAGAGTTGTCACCACTATCATGTAGAGAATTTTCTAACGATCAAAACAAATCATCAAACACCTCAGTCCGTTACGAAATGTCGTCACAGCAACCAAATGCGTCAAACGGTTCGTCCTCCAATCGCTCCACCTACCGTAGGTGTGAGATATTTTGAATTTCTTGAACGGTATGAAAGTGAGGGTGAAACTTTTCTTGGCCCAATTGTGACTGGTGACGAAACGTGGGTGTGTCACTATAATTCCGAGTCAAAAAGGCAATCTCTACAGTGGCGCCATACCCATTTACCATCAACCAAAAAATTCAAAGTCCAATTTTGAGAGAGAAAGATCATGGCCTCTGTTTTTTGGGACCGTAAAGGGTTATTATTGGTCGATTTTATGCCTAAAGGAACCACCATAAATGCAGCTGCATACTGTGAGACACTCAAGAAGTTGAAAAAAAAAATCAAAGACAAAGAAGAGGAATGCTGACTCGTGGTATGTCACTCCTTCATGACAACGCTAGACCTCATACCGCCCGTCTCACTCAGGACCTGCGTGTTTCATTTGGGTGGGATATTGTGACTCACCCACCCTACTCCCCGGACCTGGCATCATCGGATTATCATCTTTTCAATAAATTGAAGGAGTTTTTGGTTGGACAACGATTTTCAAATGACGAGGAGGTCCAGGATGCTGTCGAAAATTGGCTTCGGGAGGTGGAGCGGAAGGTATACGACGAGGGTATACAAAAACTGGTCCCTAGGCTTCAAAAAAGTATTGATCTTAATGGCGATTATGTAGAGAAATAATGACATGTTTTGACACTTATCTTGTAAATTTCATTTAAATATATCCATTTTTCAATTTTTAACACATGTTGTAACCATAGGCGTGCGCAGGACATTTTTGCTGAGGGTGCACAGTACAAATTGAAAATTTTAGTATGTTACCTAGCCATGTAACAAGTCGGGCCAGGATTAATAAAAAAAAAAAAAAATTAATAATTATTTTTTAAATAATTTCATTTCTCTTAGAAGTCAATAATTTTATAAATTATAATTCAAGACGACGTGTACCTGGGTACATAGACTTGAATTCATCAATTACATCTTCTGGATTGATTTCTGAAACTTCTTTATAATTAATATATTAAATCAATAAAATGTATAAATTAATCAAACACGCGAGTACATTACCCACCATAAAATAATTATTTTGCACTACGACTACGCTGCCAGGGATTCTTACTGTAAACAACAACAGTCACTAATGTGTTTTATTATCAGTTATCACAATTAATAATAGCATTTCAGAAGTTATAAATAACTTTTGGTGTAGCCACTTTTACGATACCTAACTATCGACAATCGAGCCGCGATAACAGAAAACGATTTTAACCGTGTATCGTACATACCAGCGTTGAAAAAAATTATAAACTTAAAAAATATTATTTATCCATCAATCTATTTCTAAAATGAACTCGCTGGGGGTGCAGTTGCATACCCTGCACCCCCCGTGTGCACGCCTATGGTTGTAACCTTACTTTCTGGACGTCCCTCGTAGATGACAGAATATCCAATGATCATCTAACGTTTTTATTATTTTTGTAATTTTTCCCTTGTCAATGAATTTTTGTAAAAATAATTTTTAGATTCAAATATTTATCAACCAAATTCATATTTTACAAACTTCTAATTAATTTGAAGTTATGAGAAGTCTAAATCTCTCATTGTTATCCCTTAACAGCATATTTTTTTTATTAAGTTTTATAAATAATTGGTAATATATAAATACCTACCATTTATTGTTTATTAAAACATTTATCATTAATTGGAAAAAAACATAATTATGTTAGTACAATTTCTTACATTAAATACAATTTACATCAGGTAACTGCTTAATTAGGGCATAATTAATCGTATAGTTTTGTTAATAATATATAATTATTTATATGAATCTATATTGTTAAATTAATTCATACAATACTTCAATTTAACGGAATAATGAGTTTTAAATTCAGGGCTTGCAAACGTTATGAATATAACGTTATATTTTACAAATACGATTGAAATTTGTAAAGGTAGGTAATTATAAAGTAACGCGATAATCTAAAATAATTAAATAGGTACCGCTAAACAAAGCATAACGAATAACAATATATATGATATATTATTGAACAAAATATATCGACGTAATATATAAACGTAATTTATAGAATATCATTTATCGAAAAATATCGCAAATCGAAATGTATAGAATATCATTAAACGAAAAATAACGCAAAACAAAATTATTTGAAAATTTTAAATCCATTAATTTAAAAGTAAGGTATATTGGTTTCGTAGAAAAATATTTTATTTCATGCTATTTATTTTTGTCATAGAAAAAAATCAAAGAATTGTTTATATTATATTCCGTATCCAGAACATTATCTGCCTGCATATTTTGGAGTTATTGATAACTTTTAAATTTAATTTCCATTAGCAAATACCTAGCATAATAATAATAACGATTAATGATGCCCCAATAATTGCGCTGTAGAACTGTAGAAGTATAGAGTATATAGACTTATTTTGTATTCACTCTGTACTTTGTCTACTCTTTAGTCTGTACTACTGCGGTTCTCTTGGGTGTGTTAAATTTATACTATTGTTAAAACATTCGTTTTATTTATATTAGCTACATATCAAAACAAATAACTATTCATGGGTTGAAAAATGTTAAACTTGTTAAAAAGTTAAAGTTACACTCAAAGAAATATCACTATAACATTGATAAAAATCATAGGTGATTCAACAAAATAATGGTTAGTATACTTCCAACAATATTTTTGTCAAAATTAATACGAAAAAATTGTAACAATAATATTGTAGAATCTTAGTTATAAATTAGATGTCTGTACCAGTGTGATGTACTAGTGTTTATAGTGTTTACCAATTACCATTGTCAATTTAGCATTTTATTTAATTAATTATTGTTGTCTTGTTACTTAAATAATTAAAATGTCAAATGATATTTCAAAAGCTCAGTTGTTGGTTTGTTTTAAGAAGATCAATGCATATAATTATATATGCAAAAAATTTAATAAACCTTACAAGACACCGAATGGAGGTATTGGGAATTTGAAAACTCATTATGCTACACACTTACAAGATGTTTCTGATAAAGTTGTTCCTGGAAAAAGGAAATCTCAAACGGTTTTACCGTTTCCGAGTGATACATATGTGGTAGAGTGTCTTCCCACGTCGCCGACTCTCAATTCGCCGACACCCCATTTCGCCGACTATTTTTTACATGTTCCCAATTTGCCGATTCCCAATTCGCCGAATATAAATATTATATAAAAAAAATAAATTATAAACAAAAATTATTATATGTATATATGATATTTTATTATATCTATGTAGTCCAATAATGAAATATCGTTTGATTCCAATCGAAAATAAAGTACAAAATAACTTATTAACAATCCTACGTGTAAAAATTAACCATTTTATAATATTTACCTATCCTTTCCATTTGTGAAGACAAAATGGTGGCTTAATTTTAGGTTCCGAAAGTTCTTTTAAAATAATAATGGAGGCTGAAAAAATCCTTTTAAATTTAACAAATAATCTAACAAACCTTAACATATTCAATTTAAATAAAAAAATAACGCTGGGTCTATACTCTGTCCCACGAGAGATCATGCCGCGCACCGACCAAAACTGGTTCCCCTACGCCACACCCTGTCATAGGGTAACCAGTTTCGACAGTAGGGAGACGCAGGGAGATGCGCAGAACCGGCATGATCTCTCGTGGGACAGAGTATAGAGCACATGGCGTCCGGATAGATAATAGAGTACAGGGCGCCCGGATAGATAGTAGAGCACCGGGTCACACTGTAAATATATACAGTAGAACCTCGATTATCCGAACCTCCGTTATACGAACCCTCTATTATCCAAACTATAATTAGCGTATCCGAACTTTCTGTTATCCGAACATGAAAATTCGTATCCGGCCGGTCGGCCGGTTTATCGAATTTATCATAACTATCGTTATGTATGTATTTTACGTGCGTCAATCATTAGTAGATAACCAAAATGCAACGGGCTTATATAAACGACGTCCTCGTGTTTTACTTGTCAGTTTAGTTCGGGTCTCTACCGCACACACATTGTTATACATACGTACGTACAAATATATTACGATTGTCAAGTGTATTTAAAATGTCTAATAAACGTAAACGTCATGTTCTTACGATGGAACAAAAAATAGAAATTCTTGCTAAGCTGGATAAAGGTGAGACTAGCGTATCTTTAGCCCGTCTTTATAATATAGGTAAAGCAACAGTTACAGATATTAAAAACAACCGTCATGCAATCATGGATTTTGCGTCAAAGATGGATAGTGGTGATGGAATAAAAAGAAGGAAAGTTATGAAAGTCGCAAAATATCAAGATCTTGACAAAGCAATGGAAATGTGGTTTATACAAAAACGAAGCTTAAATGAACCAATTTCTGGACCACTCATATGTGAAAAAGCTCTCGAGATGAATACAAAACTTAAGGGCCCTGAAGATTTTAAGGTCAGCAGTGGCTGGCTTCATAAATTCAAATCTCGACATGGAATACGTGAGTTACAAATTCAAGGTGAATCATTATCAGCTGATTCAAGCAGTGCTGAAAATTTTAAACAAATATTCCAGTTATTTGTGGAAAAAGAAGGATATTCTCAAGATTCCGTTTACAATGCCGATGAAAGTGGCTTAAACTGGAAAGCACTACCAAGAAAATCACTTGCTTCTTGCCAAGAACATGCAGCGCGTGGTTTTAAGGTATCCAAAGAAAGAGTAACAATTATGACATGCGCTAATGCGGCTGGGACCCATAAATTGCCATTACTACTCATAGGAAAATCAAAGAAACCGCGGTGTTTCAAGAACATCAAAAGTTTACCGGTAACATATACAGCTCAAAAAAATGCCTGGATGGACTCTAAATTATTTCTTAATTGGTTTGAAAATGATTTCATAAAAAATGTAAAAAAATGGCGTCAAGATCATCACAAGACAGGTAAAGTGTTACTCCTACTAGACAATGCACCCACTCACCCATCCGCCGAAGTATTAAATTTAATTGATCCAGATTATAAAGTCATGTTTTTTCCACCAAACGTAACGTCTTTGATTCAACCCATGGATCAGGGAGTAATCGAAAAGTTCAAAAGAATGTACCGAAAACAAATGTTGAGGAGACTTTTATTAAATGAAGGCACTGAAGAGAGTGTTGTTGCATTTTCAAAATTATTGAATTTGAAACACTGCTGTTACATGGCAGCAGATGCCTGGGATAATTTGACTGAGGAAAATTTACGAAATGCTTGGAAGAAGTTGTGGGTTGCTTCTATGGAGTTAGAAGCCGAAGAAGAAATAACTGATCTAAATAATTTTGATGATTTTGTTGATTTATTTAATGAAATTCCAGGATTTAATGACTGTAATTATGATGACGCTGTTGATTGGTTAGCAACTGATGTAAATGATCTAGGTTATCAAATATTAGATAGCGATGAAATCATTTCTTCGTTGCAAAATGAAGAAAGTGACGACATCAGTAGTGATGAAAGTATGAGTACGCCAAAAGGACCAACATCTGCTGAAGCATTTGCTGCATTTGAAACTGGTCTTGAGTGGTTTGAAAAACAGGCCGAATGTTGTCCAGCACAATTACTTCTCCTTAAACGTTTGCGAGACTTGGCTGCAGAAAAGCGCGTTGCAGCTCATCGCCAAATTAAAATTGATAATTTTGTCAAAAAAATATAATACATACATATGTAAATAAAATAAATGTAATGTACCTATTTCTTATAAAGTATGATAATGTTTCTGATAATGTAATGTATGCATGTAATTCTAATAAAATATTAATAACAATAATAAATATTTAATTATAAAAATATTAAATAGTTAATACATACGTAATTCTAAATTTTTTTTTTAAATTTCCAATATCCGAACTTTTGCGTATCCGAACTAGGTGCCAATAAGTTCGGATAATCGAGGTTCTACTGTACTAGTAATCCAATTGCTGCTATTTCACTCTGTCCATTCTCATCCTCCGTCATCAATACATATACTGGTAGTCTTAGGTCGAGCATTTTTTATGTAGCATCTGCAAAAACTACCTTTAAAAATATTATCGGAAAATTATTAGTATTTACTTGATATTATATAATTTTGTAGAAATTTGAAATTGTAATAAAATATTAAAATATTACTTAAGGATATGCTTCGAATGATTCAGTCATAAAACTGTCCTGTATAAAAATACTATTGAGGTTATTTTCCTCATATGTTGATATTTCAACAGTACAATTAAATTTAGTCTTTAATTTATTGACAGTTTCAACTAAATTGTTGTTTGAATAATTATTTCCTTTAAAACATAAAATAATAATAGTTAAAGAAATATTAATTCTGAAAAAAACCACTAAATTGAATTATAATTTTTTCTTACTGCCTATAGTATGGATGTTTGATAAATCTTTCCAGGTAACAATTTTTCCACTTTCATTCATTATTTTATGTTGGATCATTTTGTGCTCCAATATCGAACCGGGCACTCTAGACACAGCGAAAAAATAATGTATCAATGCACAAATAACTTGTCTCTTGATCGTAATATATTTAGTGAATTAGATTGCAATTGTAGTCTATTGGAACGACCCCATAAAATGACTTTAATTTCCTTATTAATAAATAGATATTTAAGCGTCAGATTAAAATCATTTGGCAAAGAATATTCTGCATTAGTAAATACTAAATACTACCAGTAAACGACATAAATTAAACAAATTAATTTTGTTTTCGAATCATTAAGTATTAACTCATTAAGAAATTATGTATAATGTATTAATTAAGGTTTTGCACTTTACTTTCTATATTTTTAAAATGTTAAATATAACATTTAAATTGTTTTTTTTTACAATTATGTTGTTATTATGTTAACATTTAATAACAGAATTTTTTGTTATTATACTTTATTAATTCAAGGAATTTTACCTGATTTCTTTGTATGTGCAGCACTAAACAAATGTTACTTGCAATGTGCATTATACTAAGTGTGCAAATTCAGATTTGAAAATGAAAATTTTAGTTGCTACCTAGCAAATGTTCAGTTTTCTGGTAGTGCAAGTACTACATTTTCACAGGCCAATATACATTATACACTACTGCCTACTGGAAGTGAGCACTCAGTAATAGTTCTAGTCACTTGAGTGTTATTCAATAATAAATATTAATTATTAATAAGCAATGCTAAAAACATGACATGGCTAAAAAGAAATAATATGTTTGAACTTTGAATTTCTATTTTTTTGATCAGTTACTTATCACAGTAATTGATAAAGATAACAAAATGTAAACATTGCCCTATCTGCATATGGCGGTCAGACTTCAATAATTGAAACAAGTCGGCTATCTAGTTTAATAATATATATCTATGTTGTCAACATACGCCGATCATACACGCTTATCAAACCTAACACTTATCGAGTATTATATTTATAAATTGTATGGAATAAATCCGATAAACACGATTAAATTGACATGAACACATTAGTATAAGTATATTATTATTATATATAATATTATACTATTATTTTAAATGATAACATACCATTGGAACCATAACTCCCATTACAAAGCAGTATAATGTATATATTTGCAAAAATAATTTATAAATAATTTTATAAAAACTATTGTCACCTGTCGGCGAATCCGGAAAATTGAAACTATATTTATAATTTGTCGGCAAATTAGACTATCAGCGAAATGGGAATGTTTCTAAAATATTTTAAAACTGGTATATTTGTCGGCGAACTGAGTTGTCGGCAAAGTGGGTATGAATCATGTGGTAGATCCCGATGAACCTCAAACTTAAGATATTGTTAGTGTAAGTATTTTTTTTCTATTATATTCTTGAACATTTATTTATGTGCCTGCTTATTTAAATGTATATTTTAACAATGATAAATTTTATTTTATTTATAGGGTGTCAAGTGTCATGTGTTCTAAATATTTGAAAGTACAGCAAACCCTACCTAATATGATAATGAATATTAAATCTGCAGAAAGTATGTAAAATTGTAATTATTTAAAAATGTAATGTACTCCACTAATTGTGAACTAATGCAATTTTTAATTAATTTAATTTTAATTTTAATTTATAGGTGGCACAAAAGCTGAAAAAATTACCAATGCTATAACATTCTACATTTGTAAGGATAATGTGCCATTTAAGACTGCTGAAAATGAAGGGTTTAAACATTTGATGCATACAGTATGTCCATTATATAAGAACCCTAGTAGAAATACATTTAGAAGAAGAGTAGATGACATTTATGATGTCATATCTTGTGAATTCAAAGAATCTTTGTCTAAAGTTCAACATTTAGCTGTTACGACTGACGCATGGACTGAAACAATGCAAATGAAGAGCTTCCTTGGGATAACTTTTCATTTCATATAAGACACTAAACTTGAATCAATTACTTAAAATGCTTTGTTAAAACTACTATATTTTATGAATTGTTGTAAAAAAATAAGAATACTTTTAACTGACTTATATAAACAAGTCAGATATATTAATATCATATGCCGTTTATAGGAACTATTGAAATTAAAAATTTTATTTGTTAATTTCATCAAATTTGAGTTGATAAGTAAATGTTACATAACCTAATAAAATTAATTTATAGGAACTATTGGTACAGTGGAACTAAATCAAAGTCATACTGAAGAGTACATTGGAAGAATTTTGGTAAACACATTGGCTGACTGGGGATTGGAAAAAACTAATGTTTTTGCGGTTGTTACTGATAGCGGTGCTAATATAAAAAAAGCTATTGTAGACCAGTATACAGCCGATAAACATGTACCTTGTGTTGCTCACACAATCAATTTAGTACTTGAAAAAGGAATTGAGAAAACACAAGAAATTGACAAAGAAACCAATGTTAAATTTGGTGGTGTTCCAGTCTTGGTATCCAAAGTCAGAGAAATAGTCAAGTTTGTAAAGAGAAGCTCAAAAGCTAGTGATTTATTGAGAAAGTATCAAAATATTGATAACTGTTGATTTGAACCCAAATAAACTATATTTATAATTATTTTAATGACACCTAATTAATATGCTTTAATTTTTAGGTAAGAAAGAAGGGCAGTATTTAAAACTCTTTAGACTTCACAACAAGATGGAATAGTACGTATTATATGATTGAAAGATTTTTAAAACTAATCAACAACCTATCACAAATGTTTCTCACTCTCAACGGTAATGATATACCCGAAATGATATCTGTCCATGATATAAGATGTCTACAAGAGATTTGTTCATTGTTGAGACCATTTGAAGTACTTACTAGAGAAATTTTCACAGAAAAATCGGTTATGATACAACCTTCTGAATATAGAGCAAAATTCAAACGCCAGTCAAAAGTTGATTACTCTGCTCATATTAGTCGTACCGAGGAAGCACTGTCATCTTCCCCTTTCAACTTCTGGAAATTTGTAAATAACCTACAACAGAAACCTACAGTTCCTTTATAAGTCCATCTCTGAAATATTACCTCAAAAACCTCAAATTAATCTGCAAACCTGTTTTTTGCTCATTCCTCCTCGTTGTTCAATTCATCAGTTCTCCAACTTCCTCCAATAAATTACTGGTTCATCTGATTACTTATCGTATGAACCTCCTTCCAATATCACTTTTTCTATCCACGACACCCTATCTGCTTTCAACGCATTAAAAAATACTTACTCTAACGGCCCAAAAAACATATCTGCTCAATGTTTATACAATTGTCATTTTTCTATTGCTTTTAAAATTTATTTACTATTCAGGCGTTCTTTAGACCTAGGTGTTTTAACTAAAGTCTGGAAAATATAAGGCCAATTTTAAAATCTGGTGACCCATCAGATGTCCAAAACTACAGACCCATTTCCATAATACCACATCTTGGTAAATTATTTGAATTAATCGTATACACCAGAATAAAACGTAGCTTAAATAATATTATTATAAGTGAACAGCATTGTTTTCGATCGAAAATATCGACCATAACAAGTAGTGGTGCTTTCACTTCTTATTTATCAGAAGTTATCGAACAAAGAGATCAGGTTGATGTCATATATACAGATTTCAAAAAACCATTTGACACAGTGGACCATGGTTGCCTTATAATGGTGCTTAAGTCTTTAGGCATTGGAAATCCCCTTCTTTCTTGGTTGTACACTTACATCACTGGCAGAAAACAATTCGTAAAAATCAAAGATGCTGTTCCTGACTTATCCGTGGTACCATCTGGCGTCCCTCAGGGAGGTCATCTTAGTCCACTTCTATTTATTTTATTTGTTAACTCAATCACTAAGTGGATCACAAAGGGTAAACTTCTTCTATTTGCAGATGACATAAAAATTTTCCTTAAAATTGATGGTCCTAATAAATGTCAGGTCCTACAATCTGAACTCAATATTTTTGCCAATTGGGCACGCAGTATTGGTCTTAGCCTTAATACAAACAAATGTCATGTCATGTCTTTTTCTAGAAAGCAGTCTCCTATTCACCATAACTATTCTTTTAATGACACTATTCTTGACCGTGTTTTCGTCTATAAAGATCTTGGTATTCATTATACTCCATCACTGAACTTTGAGCATCACATAAATGTGACGGTAGTAAAGTCTTAAAAGTTTTGGGATTTATTAAGCACAATACCAAACAGTTTTCGACTGCTCGCTTTCTCTGCACATTATATTTCTCGTTAGTACGTTCAATATTAGAATATGAAGTGGTAGTATGGCATCCTTACTTGGCCAAAGATGAATTAAGACTCGAGCGTGTCCAAAACAGGTTTCTTTCCTACGTTGCCCATATTATGAAGATAGTACAATCTCCTCATGATTATTCTTTATTACGTAGTATATTGAGAATACCACTACTATCATCACGCTGACAAGATGCTGATGAGCACTTCATAACCTCGCTCCTAGGTGGCACTATAGATGCTCCTGATATCCTCTCCAACGTAAGTCTTCGAATCCCTTCCTTCTTCTCCAGAAATCACTCCCTCTTTCAAATACCAACCCACAACACATCCTATGGACACAAGCATCCCTTACATAGAATGCTACGTAAGCTAAATAATTCTAATTTTGATTTTTAAAAATGTATTAGTTATAAATTTGTTGTACTATACTATCACTATGTTACTATGTTTATATTGAGTTTTATTTTCTATATTATGTTTGGTGTTACTGTGTGTTATGAACATTTATTACATATTAAAATATTAATTTTCAATGTAATCATAAAATTGCCGATCGGCGTATGTATATAAATAATAATAATTATATAGCCTTAACCGTCCATTTTTTAAATTCTGAGACTAAATTGTGTTCTAGACTAATTGGTTGCATCAACTATAATGAGCAGTGTACATCAGTTGAACTTGCCAAGTTTTTGATGGCTACTGTTAAGGCATGGAATATTGAACATAAAATATCAGCAGTTGTCACAGATAATGCTGCAAATATAGTTGGTGCTGTAAAAAAAAATAATTGGAGTCATGTCCCATGCTTTGCTCATGTCCTTAATATCGGCATTCAGAGTGGTCTGACACATTTGAAAACTGTCATGACTAAAATAAAAAAATACAGTTGAATTTTTCAAGCCAAGTTGCATAAATTACAGAACTATCAAAAACAAATAGGATTACCAGATCTTAAGCTGATTCAGGTGTGCAAAACTCGTTGGAATTCAGCCTATCACATGATGGAAAGGATGCTAAAGTTAAAGGAACCTGTGTTGTCAACATTAGCCATAACCAACAATGATTTAATTGCATTACTGAGGAGGAATGGCAAATGGTATCTACTGAGTATGAGTTTCTGAAAATTTTTTATGAATTAACAACTGAGACGAGTGCTGAAAATATTTTTACCATCTCAAAACAAAATTTATTTTATTGGTTTTTACTGGAGCATTTGAGTAAATTTGTTTTTGACATAAACATGCAACTTGGCATAATTTCAATGGCTGCAGAAATAAAGGCAACATTCGATAAATACTTCAAAAACATAGAAGATAACGACGTTCAATCCCAAGCAATTTTACTCAACCCACGTTTTAAAAAGTATGGATTTTTCAGTTATAATAAATTTGAAACGTGTAAAGTAAGCTTGGGAAGAAAAATACAATAAATAAATGTTCAAAGGTCAAACGAACCGGTCGAAGAACGTCCAACTACTTCTACTGTTCAAAGTTCGACAAGTATTTGGAAACAGTTTGATGAGCAAGTCAGTTCGGTTCTTGGTCAAAATAATCCATCTATGGCAAGCATTGTAGAGTTGGACAAATATTTGAGTAAAAATCTCTTAAATCGTCAACTGGATCCTTTGAAGTGGTGGTCTGAAAGAAAGCTTTTATATCCAAGATTGTATGAAATGGTTAAAATACGACTTTGAGTACTAGCAGCAACGGTTCCCAGTGAAAGAGTTTTTTAAAAAGCTGGTATGATTCATAATAGCAAAAGAACCAGACTGACAACTGAAAAAGTAGAAAAAAAATATGATATTTATACAATCAAACATGTAAATATACTATGATAGTACCGAAAGATAAATAAATAGTTAATAAGCAAATAAATAATTAAAATGTATAAAAAAGAATATAATACAAGATAATGTATTTATTATATATTTTATTTTTTGAGTTTATACATTATATTATATGGTGTACCGTCAATTGACCGTAAACAATTGATCGCAAACCAATTGATCGCAATTGCAATTTACCGCACGATAATTGATCGCAAACTAACCTATATGGTTATTTCAGTGTTATTTTAAGGCCAATATTATTTTTTTGTAACTTTATTCGATCGTTAACGATTAAGTCTTATCTAACACACCAGTCGTACCCTATTTGATCAGTCCGTATTTTTTCCTATCTATCTATAGAATATAGATCACCATGAAACACTATGAAAATATATCAGTACTGACACAATCGTCAATCGGTATATACTAATAACTTGAGCTGAAAGTACTGTACATAGAATATGGCTTTAGAGTACGTATTAAGCGAAAAAAATAAGTAAATGCTTATTTATCAAGGTTTCTTACACGTAAAAGAACGAGAACATGACAATAAAACATACTGGAAATGTTCTGAATACAAAAAAATTCACTGTAAAGGTTGTTTACGTACGTAAGTACTCAGTAGACGACAAAATTACTAAATTTATTAAACATAACAATCACGTTCCAAATGCAGCAAAAATCGAAGCGAAAAAAGTTACTTCAACTTTAAAGAAAAATTCATCACAAACAACTCTCAGCACACATTCAGTTTTAGAAAACGCAGTTATGCAGGTGTAATAAGCCTGGATGCTTGGTACCTACTATCGTAGTACTGACAGTAGATAAGTGGCAACCAAGTTATTATTAGATCAGGTCGCAGACACTTTATTTGATGTTGTAGTCGTGGTAGACAATGAATGATAAGACAGATGTAATATATTGTGAATTTTTATTATAATGTTCGATAATTTTTCTAAGTCCAAATAATATTCAACAGAGTGGCGTGAAGGTGCTTGCACTAATGGGTGGTAGTACACGTCTCAAAACAGGTCGTTTCGGGCTCCCTTTTATATGAAGTTCCCCGTACCCCTTGCCTATAGATACGATATCTCGGTTCTCACGGATGTGATTTGTGTGCTCATCATCTCAGCCCACGCATCTGTGGTTGACTGTGTTATCAACTATGACTTGTTATTAAAATAATTATTCTACTCTTGTTTTATTTTATTTGAATTGCGTCGTATGTATTCGGTGTCTTCCCCATGGTTATTATTTTAATTTTGGATCTCGTTGTATATGTTCAGTATTTCTGTGGAATATTACAACGCCTATTCTTGACCCCTAATTTTCTTACTACCCGGTTATGCCGGTCTATCGTATATTATAATAATAACTATGTAATATGTACTCATGAAATTGGTGTTACTCCGTAGTAACTGGCTTACTACATCTCCCCCTTTAAAAGTTGATTTTTATCGTCTAAAATGAGAAAAATTAACTCAATCATCCCTCCATTAGTTCAAGCACTTTCATGTGGTTACAAGTTACATATATAATTATTTCATTACATTCAATTATTACATGTTTACATAATATGTTTGTTACAGATATTTAGTTACATTATTGAATTATATGGTACATTACACCATATTTTTCTGGTTATATTTATTAAATGTTATTGACAATTACAAATTATAGTCCACAATATTACAGTATATATTTTACTTATTATCTAAGTTAGTATATTATGTGATTAACAATATATTTTTTTCCGTTTTTGTTTTACAACAATAATCTTATCTTAGTGTTAATATAGTATAAATTAATCCTTTAATATAATATGAATTCTTAAAATCTATTACAATATATTTTTTTTTCTCGTGCAATATATATATATGATAAAATAGTGGTGTACTGGTGTGTTATATATTTTTTTTCCATTACCATGTTAATTATATTTTAAATAAATTAGATTAATATATTTCTTTTCCCATCACCATGTTAATTAAGTCCAATATAATATGCTAATATGTTCCTTTATGTATTTGTATATTATTCTATAAAAATTTAATCCTAAATTTCAATTTTTTTTTTTTTTTCATTTTCTTTTTTTTTTTCATTTTTTTTTTTTTCTACGCTTACGTTTGTTCCTATATATATATTTTCCATTAATCGTTATATTATTATATTTTATATCTAGTTAATATTACTATTCCTATACTGTGATTTGATTACATCTTTTTACTACAGGTCCCGACCAAGCAATTAACTATTGTATTTAAGTTCCATTACATGATCGAGACAAGTACTAAATTGATTTTATTCTATTCTATTTTCGTATGTGTTTTTATCTTGCTAATCGAACCCGTGACGTTAGAGTGTGCTGGAAATCAAAGCATTCTCCACGACACAGGCTAAATTAACAAGACCTTGTCCTTGTAACTTCTTATTGAGATTTATTGGCCATTCGATCTATTGGTGTTTCCGTTAAAAAATCCGTTATACACACGACTTTCGAACCAACCACCAAACGATCAAACTCCAACATTTTCCTTAAGTTGTCAAACCGTTCGGTATATAATAGCGCAACATTTATCTATTTCCAATAATAATAGATTAAATATGTCCCTATTATGTACCGCTCGATTTCTAATCGTATTTTTTTTTTTCGTTCCTATTCTGAAATTAATTTATTTTAAATTACTATTTTAGCTCTATTTTAATTATTTACTAGTATCTATCGTTACTTCCTGTTCTTTTATTTACTTTAATGTGTTAATTAAGCTATTTGTTAGTTGCCAAAATAAAAATAAAAATTCGTTAAAAATTTACATTTCACAACGTCGATCTATGTACGTGGTATTGTTTATAATGGTTGGAATTGCTTTACTAAATTTTGATACCCATATTCCCTAACCATTTTGTTGAATATACACTTTGTAAATCTTACATCGGTTTTTGGATCGTGAGCATACGTTATTTTGTGTTTATGTGTACATATGCCGCTATGTGCTTCCGTTAAATTTAATAGCCTACCATTCTTTTGGATTTTACCTACACTAAATTCGAAAATTCTTTCTGTAATCTTTCCCCTTAATTTTTCCAATATCATGTAAAAGTCCCCATCGAAATTTAAATCATAGCATCTAATATTTAGTATTTGTATATCTCCTAACCCTAATCTATTTAGGATATTCCTATCGTATGATCCCCCAAACAATACCACTACATTTATCTTATTTCCATGCAAAATATAATTTCTTATGAATTCTGGTGTTAAGTTATTTAATTGAGAATTCAGACTTTTATTAAGTTGCGCTAAACAGGTCGTCTCCACTTCCTTCTTGTTGTGAAAAATCCGCCTTATTGATTTCTCTGCCAACTGTGTTTCACGAACAGTCATAACTCTTACCTGTTCATGAAGTGGCAAGAGAAGCGGTTTCCCCTCGAGCTTACGAATCTTACATTTGTTCAAGCTGTTCGAAATCGCCCCTGATATTAGCACAATATCGGTTTTCCTCATATTGGTGAATTCAAAATCCATGACAACGAACTTGACTTCCCTTCTAATTCACAGTCGTTAATACATTTATTATTATTAATAATATTAATACGTGTTCTATTTCTAATTACTATTTCTAACTACTTATGTAAATATATTTTTTTTTCTATATTTTCTACTTAATTAATTATACTTATAGTTTATTCTAAATAATAAAATAATCCTATATAGTTTATTTTATTTGGGGTGGTACATCCTCCCCTTCAAGTGGATTTCGTTCGTTTACTTTTTTTAATTTTTGTTCAATTTGGATATTATCCGCGCAGAGTTTACTTTTCCCTACTCGTACCATTTCATATTGTGGTCGCCTCAATGAAGTGAGCCTGCATTTATATGTTATATATATAAAAATGATTAGCATTATTGAGAATACTATCAAGCCCAATGTTAAATAAAATAAATAATTACGCGTATCACTCGCTTCTAGCTGTCCTGATTGTGTTAATATTTCATTATCAATTTGTTGTTGGACATGGTCTAACGATTGTGCTATTTCGTGTATTTTTTCGAGTTTATGTGAATCTGGTTTAATTATTAATTTAGGCAAGTTCATACTTTTTATTCTATCGGATACCTTAAATGATATTTTTCCCTGTCCTACTTCGGGTATAAAGTTAACATAGTGTTTCGACTTTATTTCTTGTGTTGGATTTAATATAATATCGTTTCCGTACGCTCTACATTTTGAACTTAACCAAATTAATCCTTGTTTTCGTATTTTCGTAATGTATGGTTCCGCATTTTCCCTACACGCGATAGTTAATGTTTCTCTCTTTGTTGTATATATCCAAGTGTTCGCATGTTTTAATTTGTAGAATATGTCTTTCGATAATACTAATACTCCCGTCTCGCATGTTTCTGGCAAGACATCCGGATTTTTGAATAAAGCTATTTCACATGGGTTTTTGTTGTTTGAATGAACAACTGGTGAAAATTCTGGACATATCGTAAATATTTCTGTTTCCGTACAATGCAAAAGTTGAGTTTCTGTGAACGTGGTATATTGTTCCCTATTCTTTGTAATCGCTACATATTGGAATTCTGGTTTTAAAACAATACTATGATTTTTATTCTTTATTCCATTAATCATTGTTTCAACCGGTTGTGGTATTGGAAGTATTCTGAACAACGTGAGTTCTAATTCGGTAACCAGCGGAAGCTTTATTACGAAAACGATTTGGCTGTCTTTATAGAACACTGCCATTTTTGTAATTTTACTTAATTCGTAGATTTCATTCGGATTTGTGCCCATAGGTAAATTTAAATTAATCGGTAAATTTAATTTAATCTGTGTTAAATGATTTGCCAGTTCACGCGGTGTCATTAAACTTGGATGTATTACTCCTGTCCTAGCCGCGGTTATAATAGCGCCTATCGATTGTGTTTCCATTGAATACTGCGATAATAATGCTGTGAATATACCATGTATTTTATTTGATAAAATTAATGATTCTAAAGTGTTTGTCTTATTAATTATTTCGTTTATTATATCTTTTTTGTTTACTAATTCATTGTATAATTTACTTATTTCATCAGATGTGGTACTAATACCTTTTACAGTAGATTTAACTACCGTGGTCTGATCCTTAAGTATGTGTAACATACGTTCGTTAGTTTTTTCTATTTTTCCTATTTCTTCCACTGATTCTTTCGCACACTCCTCGTCACATACCCCGAATAGTGTTTTCATAGCCGAACCTACGAAATTTATTAGACCCCGTCTTTTCCTACTTGGAAATGTGGTAGGTTCCGATTGCTCGGCGTACCTACCTATCGATTCGTACATTTTCTCGCGTTGTAATGAAATTTCCTGAAACATTACTTTAAAAATATTGTCTAGCCTAGAACACATTTCTAATGCTGTCGCGCTATTCTTGCAAAGATCAGTTATTATACTTATTTCCGTTTGTAATTTGTCATGCCTAAGGTCGTAATTTTTTAATGGTAAATACGTGATTAGTTGCCAGGTCGCTCCTGTCAATCGAACCGTACCGTAATTTTCATAATACATCAATGTTTGATTTCGAAATTCTTCCACCCTATATGGATTTTGACCTTGCCCTGCCGTAACCAGAGACAACCTAAAACAATATATATACATTTTAGTTCAAACTCGTTTTAACTTGTTGAAATAATTTCTAATATATATATTATTTCGTATCATCTCGCCGGCTCGGACAAAATACGCGCACTTATCGCGTTTAAAATTGAACTAGTTAATTTATAATTCGTTGTCAGTGAGTTCCGGTGGTTGCTTGTTCGTTCAGAATATGGTGGCAACTCCCACCGTTCCTACACCGCCAACTATCAAAAATTAACTAGTATCATTCATTTTTTTTTTTTTTTTAATTAGTGGTTTTCATTATTCCTATTTATATAATATCTATTTTCTACTTCATTAAAAATACTTTCTATAGTTAAATTATTTTCTACATTAAGTAAATCCATAACATCGTTTTCATAATTACTACTACGTATATTCCTAATATTGTCAATATTACTATCGTTATCGCTAAAATCGTCCACCTCGTCCATATTACTAATTGTATTATTAGGTACTATGTTTCTTAAATTATTACTATCACTATCACTATCACTATCTGACCACCACAGACCAGCTGCTTCAGTCATATTTCTAATACTATCATTATTACTAATACTACGTAACATACTTCTATTTCTAATGCTAGGCGTCCTACTATTACTAACCAATTCCCTATTAGTGCTATCATTATTACTAATATTATTATTACTAACATTATTTCCGTCATTATTATCATCTAGTAATCTATACAACCTATAGCTATTAACGTTCAAATAATGTGCCCATGCTTCCTTGTTTATTTCCTTATTTAATTCCCAAAACTCATTGATGACCCTTTTTGCCAGTGCTATATTGTTTTTCAATTGTTGTTCATTTTCACTTCCCATGAGTGCAGGTGGTTCCGTTCGGTTGTAGACTATACTTGCTACGCCTACGGGCTTAGCTCCGCCTACTCCCGGTATTCGGTCTACATCCAGGTGGTAACGAAATGGCGTTGTCGATACATTACATGCGTAAGGGCTTCGGAACCAACTCCATAACCCTTGACATAGTTCCACCATCTCCGGTTGTGGAAACCTACCGGGAAGGATGTTACCTCGATCTCCATAGTAAACATCAATTAATGCCCTAAGGTTATGTGTAACTTGTCCCATAGGTTCCTCCCCTGTATAGCGAAACAGTTGTAATTCGCATATGTAATTATCATTTTTCTTCAACACCATTACCACCAGACGACCTCCCGCCTGTACACTCATAATCATTTCAAACTCCGGGTCTTCATTTGCATTTCCGTCGAATTGTACTAGCAGTCTGGTCCCATCTGAATCAGTGACCACCAGTGCCGCTATCTCCTCTTCCCTACAAGATCTTTCATTTTAATAATATGCTTTGTTATTCTAAAATAATCCAAACTACTATTGCGTTAACTACTTCTACTCTTACATTAATAAAATTAATTTCTAGCTACGTCATTTTCTACAATGAAGCTTGTACTAGGTTAATTTGTACTAATCTACTAGGAATCTATTACCATGCATATTTTACCCTACAGTAAAATTTTTCTTAGACTATGACTATTTATTATATCCTATTATTAATTCTATTCTATATTTTATCCTATTATTTGTACTATTCTTAATTCGTATATTGACCTACATATTCCAACAATATTTCTGGTTCCGGTATATACTCCATGTGTTCGACTAATTCTTGACAATATTGGTTGCCGACTCTGCCCTTTGACATGTCGTAGAGAAATGTTGCGATGCTTTGTTCCATCCTTCTTATTTTGTCTTCCGAGAATGGTTCAGCTAGTTGACTGTTCGCTAATTGTATATGTTTTGTTAAACATGGTGGTATATTACTTCCGTCGCCTATCGTACATTTTTCATGTTCCCCATTCATAATGGCGAAATCCAGTTCGATACAGAATAACTTGTATGTCTCCCTATAATTAGATTTTTTTTTTTATTATTTAATTGTATACTACCTAACACTATTTAATCTTAATTTATTTTAATTTTATTTTATGTCTATTTTAAAAAAAAAAATTTTTTTCAAAGTCGTGAGTTTGCTGTGTCGTCGCGGGCTCGTATTGTATCCATTTCCGTAAATTCTAATGTTCGTATGAGGTATCGATATCTCTCCTTCCTGACAAACCTATAGTGCTTCACTATAGTTGTCATTATCAACAGCATTATGATTACTATTATTCCTAGTATTCCACATACTATATATAGGTAATTAATTATGCGTTCATCAGGAATGCACACAACTGTTTTTTCATTATTGTTCACATAATAACTGCCTTGGTTTGTTTCGTAATTTATATTTTCACTTTCTGTGGTACTCCAGTATCGTGTTGATGTTTCGTCCGTAATATTATTCAATTCGTAATTTGATATTGTACGTCCGGTTCTTGCTGTCTGTGTAGTGTGACCTACTGTGCTAGTTATGTTTGCATAATCTTCGTTTACTTCCGTGGCGTTGAACTCGACTGACCCAGTTGTCGTTGCTGTGATATTTGTGTGTATTACATTGTCATTGTTTACGTTGTTTACATTGTTTACGTTTTCTATTTCTCCCATCCGATGATAACCCATATAATATTCCGATTCCATTTTGAATTTTTCATAATACGATCCATTCTTATTTTTTAATTGTATTGTACATGACTTCTCCAATAGGTATTCATGTTCAAGAACAAATGATTGAAATACACTTCCTTGATATGGGGTGCTACATATAATTTGTAACGATTCCATATTACATTCATTGTACTGAAATTGTGGCAAAATTATTGTGTCGGATTGATAGTAGTCTATTCCTACCAGATTCCCTGTATTATAATAGATCCTTATCATTGGACTCTTGCTAGAACCTGAATTTCTTTGGATCTTTACTATTCCTATTGATGTCGTTATTAATGAAATCCACCTATAATGTTCATATATTCTATATAATTTTTTTTTTATATATATAAAATGCCATCGCGAGCACATCCCACGCCGACTTTATCCTTTATTGTTATTATTTTTCTTCTCTTTTTATTTGTGTACCTACTATAATTATTTCGTATTATATACTATATCTATATCTATACTATATATATATTATACTGCGTTTGTAATGATATCTTAACTATCCTATCCTATTATTATTTAATTACTTATAATTAAAACTTCGTCATGTGTTTGTGATTTCTTCATTATCTACATTATTATCTTCGTAATACAGTTTCACATCGTTTTTGTGTACTGTCACTTTCTTGCGATTTCGTGATATAACTACATTTTCCGAATCTAGTACGTCTAGTACTTCGTATGGTCCCTTCCAAAGTGGACTTAATTTATTTCTTTGAGTATGATCTTTAAGTAAAATCATATCATTGACTTTTAACTCTTCCGTATTTGTTTTCTTATCATAATATCGTTTATTTACTTCTTTATTCTTTATTAATCTATTCCGTGCAATTTGGTGAGCTTCCTGGAACTTTTGTTTAAGATCGTATACGTAATCATCATAATTGTACCTAGGTTCTGGTTTTGCTTTCAGTTTAACTGGTATATTAATATTTTTGCCATATAATAACGCGTATGGTTGGTACCTCGTGGACGTATGTTCCGTAGAATTGTATACGAACATGGCGTAAGGTAAAAGCTCATCCCAATTGTCTAAACTTTTACTTACGTAGTGTCTTAAATATTCTGCCAATGTCTTATGTGAACGTTCTAGAGCCCCATTGGTCATCGGATGATAACCGGAAGTCTTAATCTTGTTGATTTTTAATAATCTACATACGTCTTTGAAACAATTTGACATAAATTCGGTGCCCTGATCGCTCAAAATTTCATCCGGTATCCCATGTATACAGACAAAATTTATTACGAACGCTTTCGCCACCACGTTAGCGGTGTGACAAGGTATTGCTACCCCTAGGCTGAACTTTGTTAGATCGCATTGCATCGTGAGTATATAATTGTTACCTAGCCCGGTTGTAACCAAAGGCCCTACAATGTCCAAAAATATTTTTTCAAATGGTTTCGTACTAGTTGTAGTAATCACCATCGGATATTGAATATGTTTGTTAGTATTTTTATTCATCTGACATGCTGTACAATTCTTTATATATTCTCTTACGTCCTGCTTTAAGTTCGGCCAGTTAAATTGTTTCTTTATTTTCTTTACGGTTTTGTTGATTCCTAGGTGTCCACCCAATACGGAATTATGTAATTGTTTGAAAATTACTAATTTTTCTTCCCCACTAAATTCTAATTTGGTACAAATTATTATTTCTATATTTGTATTACGAAAAATGTATCTTATCATTGCTCTGACTTTTGCCCAATCTAGTCCGTCTTGTCGTCCTAATTGGTTCATTGCTAATTTAGTTAATTTATGTTTTTCGCAAAAATACTTAAGATTTAGTAAAGCAACGTGTAAATTTTGGTACGTGGCTAATTGTTTCTTTTTCGTTTTTGTTATTAAAAATATTATGTACCTATCTCCACTTTTGAATTTTACGACATCGCCTAAATCTTTATGAGATTTTAATTGTTTGTCTCTACCAAATCGCTTTCTTAATTCGTAATTAATACCTGATCGAAAATTATAGTATTTTTCGATTTCTGATCCTATGTGGTACTCCGACGGACTGTTTATTAGTTCGCCGTGTACTTCCTTTACGTCCTTATTAGATATTAATGTTGTTTCGAATTTTTGCATAAAATTATCATAACTTTCGTCTTTAATTTCCGTAATATTATACATACGCGATAACGCGTCGACATTGGTGTTTAATTTACCCATTTTGTATACTATTTCATATTCGTATTCCTCCAATTGTAGTCTCCACCTTGCCAATCGGGATAATGGGTCTTTTAAATTAAATAGCCATGACAAAGGCCTATGGTCCGTAAGAATTGTAAATTTTCTACCATATAAATACGGTCGAAATGTTTTTACGCCGAATATAATCGCCAAACATTCCAGTTCCGTTGCCGAATAATTACATTCCGCCCTGTTTAAAGTTCTAGAACTGTAAGCTATTGGTAAATCCGATCCTATTTTACCTTGAGATAATATTGCACCTAGCGCTCTACCGCTAGCGTCTGTCGTAAGTATAAATTGTTTTGTAAAATCTGGATATTGTAGAATTGGTTCTGAACACAATATTTCTTTTAATTTATCGAAAGCTTTTTGACAGTCTTCGTCCCAATTAAATTTTACGTCTTTTCTTAATAATTTCACTATTGGATTAGCAATAGCGCTATAATTTTCTATGAATTTCCTATAATACCCACTAAGTCCTAAAAAACTTTTTATTTGTTTGACATTTTTAGGAACCGGAAAATCCTTTACAGCTTTAACTTTTGCTTGGTCCGGTTTTATTCCTTCGTCACTAATTACATGACCTAAAAATAAACATTCCCGTTGCAAAAAACTACATTTGTCCGGTTCTATTTTTAGATTGTGTATACGTAATCTCTCAAATACGTCTATTAATTTTTCATTGTGGTCTTGCAAATTTTTAGCATACACTATTATGTCATCCAGGTATACTAAACACTTCATTCCTATTAACCCTGATAACACGTTCGTCATCATTTTTTGAAATGTCGCCGGAGCTGAACTTAGACCCATAACTAATCGTTTAAATTGATAATGCCCTTGTCCCGTTGAAAATGCCGTAAGTTCTTTTGATTCTTTAGCCAAAGGTACTTGGAAATATCCCGATTTCAAATCTATTAAACTGAACAGTTGACATTGTCCTAATTGGTCTAATATTTCCGTTATATTTGGTAATGGGTGAAATTCGTTTAAAGTTACTTCATTAAGTGCCCTAAAATCGATAACTATTCTGAACTTTTGTTTCCCCGAGGCGTCCTCCTTCTTTTTGACTAATATTAATGGTGCGTTAAACGGACTCATTGATCTTTCTATGATTTCGTCCTTCATCATTTGACCTATTTGTTTTTCTATCTCCGGTTGTTGTGAAAATGGTAAACGGTATGGTTTTTTATAAATCGGTTTCAAATCTTTAGGAACCTTTATTACGTGTTCTGCTGCCGTAGTACACGTAAGATTATCCCCTTCTAAATAGAAAATGTCCGCTTAATGTTCACATATTTTTACTATCGAATTATACTCGTGAACTTGAAGATGATCAGCACGTATCAACGCCCTAACCCGACGCGAACGTTCAATGTCAATTGTGTTTACACACCGTACGCTATCTGTTGAAACATCCGTGTCGTATGAAATATTACGCGCTTGTCCTACATTTATTTCCTGCGCCATTTCAGATATATTTAATATGCTTATAGTAATTTTATTGTTTTTGACTGTATTGTAAATGTTCGCGCAATATACGTCCGGTATTAATTCTTGTTTATTTATTAAAATATTTTTATTATTCATTTCTTTATCGGGTATATCGATCTGTACTATGGTTTCTGAGCGCGGTTTTAATGTAAAACAGACATCACTATCGCTTCCTGTTTTATTATTATTTATTGTTAGCGTGTTATTAGCGACGTCTATTACTGCGTGATTTTCAATTAAAAATTTATTACCAATAATCCCGTCCGCCAATATCGGAAAAATATTATTTACAACATAAAATTGTGTTTCGAATGCTTCATTATTAATTATTAATTCTATTTCTGCTTTTCCTATTGTAGAAACTATTTTTTCATTGATGCCTTTCAAATAAATGTTTTCGTTTTCGTTTATTTCAATGTTTCCTTTTAATGCATTAATTTTAATTATATTTAGATCCGCCCCAGTATCGACTAATAATTTAATTTGATCTTTATTAAAACTAGGTGATTTTAAAGTAATGTGATTGTCTATTAATTCTGCTGTGATGTGGAAAATCCTGTGTGTGGGTCTTGAATTATTTCTTGGACCAATCTGACTCCCACTGGTGATGGTCCGTTGGCGTTTCCCGCCGTGTTTCTTTCATTTCTCTGTTTTGTATAGCAGTTTGAAATTTCATGACCTATCTTATTACAGTAACTACAATGGACACCCTGAGTATTGTTATTGTCCCTACGAACATTATTGTTGTTGTTCGTATTACGCGTGCCGCCTACACGATTATTGTTGTTCGTATTTTGTTGCGCATTTGGTCGATTGCTCCAGCAATCCCGCGCCAAGTGATTAGACTTGCCGCACGTGTAGCACCCTGCGTTATTTCGATTATTATTATTTTGTTGTACATTATTGACATTGAAATTTCGTCCATAGCTGTTTCCGCCTCGATAACCGCCGCGATTAACCGTGCGTGAATCATATCCGCCCCGATTATTATTTCCATAATTACCGCGGTTGTTGTGGTTAACATATCTGTTGTTATATCCGTTGAAATTATTATTTCTGTGATTTTGATTTGAATTACCGTTTCCTCCACGATTAACTGCGTTGTTACCATCGTTTTGTCGTTTTTCCTCGTTATTGACGCCTGCCTGTTTTCCATTACCAATCTGTCTCTGTAATTTGTCCATTTCTACTTTTGATTCATATTCAAGCATCTCATCGATCGCCGTTTTGAAACATTGTTCCAATGTAGTGGGATTTCGACTTTTTAGTACTGTATATAGGTGATGAGGTAGCCCCGTCATAAATATGATCATTGCCTGTTTCTTTGTTTGTTTTTTCACTATATCTGCCTCGGCCGGAGTTAGACCTACCGTACTTGCCGCGCAGAGTTTATAATATAACTCTTCGATTCTACTAGCGAATTTTGCTACACTTTCTCCCTCGGCCATACGTGCCGTGTTTAAAGCTATTGATAGGGCCCTCTCCGATACTTTTTGTTCGAATGCCCCCTCTAATATTGTTTTTATTGCTCCCCATGTTTCTAAATTTCGATATTTTGTTACTTCCAACGCATTTCCTGTTAACTTAGAAGTAATTATTTTCAATAATATCGGTATTTCTGCATCCGTTGTCTCCTTAATTGCGATTTCACAAATATTTATAAATTCGGCTACGTCCTTTTTGCCCGTGCAAATAGGTATCATAGCAATTGCTTTATCTAAATCCATTTTACTCATTTTTTTCTTAACTACTGATTCTAACTGCTCGTGAACTACGCTTGAATCTGACCTAGTACCTAAACGTCCTACGGTTTGTTTTCGTGGCGTGGTACCTATTTGTTCATTTAAACTATGTGTTCTTACTAATTTTTCCTTAACAATTTTTTCAGCTTTAATTACTTGTTTCCTAGTTTGTTCTAAAAATTCTTTCTTTACAGCGTCTTTTAAAATTTCCGCTTTTATTTCTTTCCTAGTTTTATATTTTTTAACTTTTATTGAACTGTCCGTAGAACTAGTGTCAATATCTGAACTATCGGATTCTGACATATATTTATCTAGACATTACATAGATATATATAATTTTCAATAAATTATATCTACTAAATTATTAATACGTAACTACCGTCACCAAAATTAATAATACTTAAAAATTACTACTTATAAAATAACTATCATGCACAAATAATAAAAAGAATTTACGTAAACGCGCGTCGTACGTTGAAATGGATGAGTACCTATCTAATAACACGTAAAACGTTCGACCGCCTATGCTACGCGTGTTAAATTTCGATACGGTGTTCCTCACCCGTTTCCCTCGCCATGCTCCGCGATGTTTTTTTTTACGTACGCGCTCGTACTACGCTCGAATATTATAAAATAAAACAATTCTCGGTTAGCTACTCCGTAAATCCCTCTAATAATATTCGACTTCCTATCCCTTATTTTTCTTATTACTAATATATTTCCTAAATGATTTTAATTTCCTAATTTACGCGCTTTAACTATTTAATTTACTTTCACTAAAAATTAATTTTTTTTTCATTAACAATTATTCTATCAACTTATTCGTAGTAATGTTATACTAATTCTTATCCTAGGGCCCCTATAATTAATTTTTTTTTTCAAACTTTTCAAAATTTGACGTCAATTACTTTAATAAGGTCATCTGCTGCCTTTTAATTCAAAATCTATTTTCTTCAATATATATCATTTATTTTCTTTCAACAATTATCTATCATTCTATATTTCAATTCAAAAATTCAATACTTCACTTTAATCAATTATTTCCATATATAATTTAAAAATGCTACGCGCGTGCATCAATTCCTTAGATCAGCCTATCGCCGTCTACTTTTAATTTATTAGATCAGTCTCCGCTGTCTATCACAAAATATCATAAAATACTTAGGTCAGTCCCTGCTGCCTATCACAAAAATACCATAAAATTCTTAGATCAGTCCCTGCTGTCTATTATAAAATACCATAAAATACTTAGGTCAGTCCTTGCTGCCTATCACAAAAATCTTAGATCGGTCCTTGCCGTCTATTTACCATAAAAATCCTAGATCAGTCTACAGCTGTCTATCAAAAATACGTATATAGTTCTTCCCAAGCTTGTTTCCTATTTTTTTTTTTTTTATTTATTTTTATTCGAATATTTTTCCCTAATATTTTACACCACCACCAAGTATAAAATAAACGCTGATTTATATGAATCAACGTGAGACGTGCACTTCAAGCTATACAATTTTAATTTAATTATCTATCTTCACTTAATTAATATACTCACAATAACGCTGTTGCCACTGCTGTGTTCATTTTTTCCTCGATTGTCTGCTGGCCCGTCTAGAATTGTTCGTTGAATCCGGAGTCGCCACAGGTAATTCATATTTTAGTTACATATAGAAATGGAAAAAATAGTTAATTATTCAAATTAAACTAAATTAGGTAACAAGTGCAGTTTCCGCAGAAATGTCGAGTGTTAATACATTGAAAAGGACAATTCAACGTGTAGGTACGCCAAAAGGAGGAAGCTGCACTAGCTAATCCAAGTAATTTTGAATTTATTATACCAGATCAATATAGATATAACTCCAATGGTGAATTATTTTTAAAATTCGATAGCGGTCCTACTGAATCACGAATTTTAATATTTACAACTCAACAAAATTTAGATTTTATGAGTGAATGTGATAATTGGTTTTGTGACGGAACATTTTCAGTGGCACCCCCCATTTTTGCTCAGTTATATACTATACACGGGGTATGTTATTCCAACGTTATTCCTAGTGTTTACGTATTACTGCCAGATAAAAAAGAAAAAACTTACCGTCACGTCATGTTTGAAAATTTAAAATCACTGAAGTCAAATTTAAATCCAAAAAGTATTATGATAGATTATGAAAGAGCAGCTTTAAATGCAATCGAAACGGAGTTTTGTGATACCGAGGTAAAAGGTTGTTTCTTTCATATGTCACAATGCATTTGGCGTCATGTCCAAGAATTGGGCCAACAGACAACTTATCGAAATGATCCGGAGTTTTCATTACGAATTCGAATGCTACCAGCATTAGCTTTTATTCCAGAAGCAGATGTAATAAAATGTTATAATGCATGACTAGTTACAAATTATTACACAGATAATGAAGATCTACTGGCGCCGCTGTTGGATTATTTCGAAAATACATGGGTAGGAAAATTAGACAGGAGAGGAAAAAGAAAGCCGCCAAAGTATGCAATCACATTATGGAACTGTTTTTCGAGAGTAATCCAAGATTTGGCTACCACAAATAATGCTATAGAAGGTTGGCACAATTGTTTCACATCACTTATAAATAGTATGCATCCTTCAATTTGGCGATTTATAGATGCATTAAAAAAAGAAGAGAGCATTAACAGATTCAAAATCGAACAATATGTTGGGGGCAACGAGCCACCCAAAAAAAAAATTTACCGAGATAGAGCAGCTAAAATAAAAAAAATTTGTACCAATTATAACAATAATACAAATATTGAAGACTATCTTCGTGGCATTGCATACAATTTTCAATTGCAAATTTAATATTTATTGTTTTTCATTATTATATACCTACCTTCATGATTTATTATAATATTATATTTATTTATTTTTTATGTTTAATTAAATGTACCTAAAAATATTATCTATTTTAAAAAAAAATATTGCAGATTATAATTTTAAAAGTTAAATCTTTCTCATTTTTATATTCTGAACAATATTTTTTAAACATTTTTAATCTAAGACGAAAAATATATTTTTAACCATACATGTAACCAGAGTTGTGCCAAATTTATTAAAATTAAATATATATTCATAATATGTTTATATTACTGAAAATGTTATTTTTCGATCAATTGATGTGCGGTAAATTGCAATTGCGATCAATTGGCTTGCGATCAATAATTTGCGGTAAATTTTCGTGCGGTAAATTGTTTACGATCAATTGACGTGTATCCATATTATATGCATAGTATTGCATAAGCATATTTGTTTTGTTTAGTATATAATGAACAGTTACATTTTTAGTTTTATTTTGTTATCGATGGAGTAGCGCACAAGTGTGATAAGTGACATTTTTTTAAAAAATGAGTTAAGTGCATAATCAATTTAATCATACAATTCTGCACATTATGCCCAAACGTTGTAAGTGGATAGTTCATTATTTACTCCGATAGATGTCGTACAGTTCGTTACATTTTTGAATTTGTTATAACATCTCAAACTTAAAAATCGTTCTCCTGAACAATTACGAAAATGTCACTTATCACACTTGTGCGCTACGCCATCGTTATGAAAATTTGTTTAATATTATATTCTTTTCATACAATACCTAACATAAAGATAACATTGTGTAATTAAAAAACTCATTACATAATACATATCTTACCTAATAATTTATACAATTTACTCCACATATTTAACGCAGATCATTTTTACAAACACCGTATGTATAAAATATTAAATAAGAAATACGAACATTCAAAACTAAGATAGGTATCACAAAAAAGACTATGATAATATAAAATATTTTAATAACTTTAACAAGAAACAAAGTAGTGTGTTAAGTTATAATATTGTTTAATTTTTCTTAAGGCATAATTTAATAATTATAATTTAAACTAATAAATACAAAACACTAGTCACAAGCACAAAATTCTTATAAGCAAAATAATCGCTGCGGTCTAGTGATGGTAAGAAATAGCAGTAGCAGCTTTAATAGCACTGCTATTTTACTATAGCAATCGCAGACTGCTATTTAGTGTTAATAATAGCAGTGATTGCTAAAATTTGTATAGTAAGTTTTAGTATCTTGTGTTTTCCTACACTGTTCATTGTTATTATTTTATTTCTCCAATAGCTGCTATCATCGACTATCGAGGTATAAAAATATTAAATAAAACTGATACTGCTATATTTTATAATTTAGCAGCTGCTGCTGCTGCTGCTGCTAATTTGTTATAAAATAGCAACTTTAGAATTGTGTTTTTACTTTTTTTGTTTTTAATCATTTATGTGTTACTTATCACTCGCCATGCAAGCTCTATAATATATTTTTCTCTATGGCCTAGATGAATATGAAATAATATACGTCATATCAATAGTATAATATTAATTATCAATATTCAATATTATAATATAATTTCAAATTTCAATATTCAGTACTCAATAGTGCAATATTCTCATTGTCTCAGTAGTTATTAGTTATTAATTATTCGACAATTTGACATAGTAGCCAGTAGGTACCTACGACTTAACGATTTTACCTAACTTTACTGTTTACTGTTAAGTATTTACTGACTGTAAGTACTATACTGTTATATTATGTACTTATAATTTTTTACTGGCCACTAGAATCTGTGGAATGTGGATACTGAATAGTTTTGAACTGTGGACTGATGTAAATAAAAATTAATATACAATGTACGAGAGATAAAAAATGGTGAGTAGATACAACTAAATTTATAATAAAGAATTAAATTAATTAACTTAATTTTATAATCTTCAAAATAAATTATATACAATCTGCATATAAAAACGTAAAATAATAATCATTCTTATGAATTTTGATTTAAAAAAAGGAGCATTTCAACTTTCTTGCTACTAAGTCTACTTCGGCGGTCACTGATGAGTAAACCAGCTTTAGAGAACACGCGTTCACAGGGCACTGATGTACCAAGACAGCAAAGTGTTCTCCTGGCAAGCTGACTCAAATATGGATAATTATGTTTATTAATTATTATCCATCCACCATTTTAATGCATCAGTGTGGCGGTTCTGTACGTCATCTTCTAAGTACCTTTGTACCTCTATAATAGCCCTTGATGTGTTGGTCCCTGTAGGTTGAATTTGGGACACTTTTGAATCGATGGAACTCCAAATTGAAAACCCTTGTTCATTTTCTGAAGCAGTAGTAGTCTGTAAAGTACGTTGCACCTCATTGTCTGATCTATTGGCTGATATAATTGATGCAGTTCTTTCTATAATGTCACTTTTAATTATTTGTAGGTGATTTTCAGTGAACGGAATGTTTTTGAATCGTGGATCGAGGAATGTACAACGGACAAGTGTATGACTACCAATAATGTTACCCCAGCGATCTCTATCATTCATTCCAGATAATAATTTATTTAAAACATTGTTTACTCTTTGATGTTAATTTTCTTTTTGTAGTTTGCTGCATACATTTTTAAGTCCTTCAGCTAAGACTATAACTAAAGAAGCTGTCATGTATTTATCTCCACTTACAGCTTTTGTTGCCTCTTCAAACGGACGTAACACTATACACAGTTCTCTAGTTACTTTCCACTCATCTACTGTTAAGCCTTCAGGAGGATTATCTAGTAAGCCAAGAGTTCCACGAATAGAACTTTCAAGTTCAACCAACCGCTCGATCATGTACAGAGTTGAGTTCCAGCGGGTACTCACGTCTTGAAGTAACTTTTTTGGTTCTTTTGCCCCGTTACTTATTTGATAGTTGTTTAACTTTTTATTTGCAGATGTACTCTTTCTGAAATGTGTGACAATTGTTTGGATCTTTTCTAAAAGGTTAGATTCGATTGTGAGAGCCCCTTGAACGATCAAATTTAACGTGTGAGCAAAGCATCCAAAATGCTTTAACTCAAGGATAGATAAAGCTCTCTTTATATTATTTGCGTTATCGGATACTGCAAAAGTAATTTTGTGTGTTAAATCCCATTCTTCTAATGTCGATTTTATTTGGTTACTTAAATTTATACTTGTGTGGTTTTCAGAGAATTCATGACAACCTAATAAAACAGATTCAAGACCAAAATTGTTGTCAATAAAATGAAATGTTATAGCGATGTAACCCATGTTACTTCTGGATGTCCAGCAATCAGTTGTAATGCAACCACTCACAGCTTCAGTTTTAATTATTTCCTTTGTTTCAATTAAACATTTTTGGTACAACGCAGGTATGTGAACTTTGGACAATGTATGGCGGTTTGGTATTTTGTATGAAGGATTTAGGAGATGAACAAAATGCCTAAAACCTTCATCTTCAACTATTTTGAATGGTTGAAAATCTTTAGTGATCATTTGGATAAGGGCATCGTCAATTTTCTTCTGTGTGTCGAATGTCATTTTTCTTGGTACGTATTCTGAAATATTAGTTTGTTTTCTTTTGCGGATATTAGCTATTGAATTTTGAATAGATGTTGATGAAGTTGGATCTTGAAAAGATGTTGATGGAGTTGTATTTTGTATATCTGTAGTTGGAGTTGTATTTGGTACCATATTTGAAGAAGATGCGGGAAATTGATCATTAGACGTTTGACCAGGATCATCAACGATTTCTTCGTTAACTTTGTTCGACTACAGAAAAATAAACTTATTTAATAATACTGTTTAGTGTATCAGTATAAGTAATATACGTATGTATATATACTTACTATACTTTATTTAAAAAATTTAAAATGAACTTACCTGGTTTTCTGCACTTACTGCAATCCAATGTACGTTAGAATAATGCGTTTTTAAATTTGTAAGGCTAGTTTTAAACGAATATTTTTTTTTACAAATCATACATCTTGCATATGTAGAGTTTTCAATGACAGTGAAATGAGACCAAATATCACTTGTCTTGCGGCTCATATTGATATATTAAATATATTAAAATCACTTAACATACAAATTAACAGATCAACTAGTATATCAGAGTTTAGCACAGGCCACAGACAACACAATGTTCGACTATGATGTACTGTGGTAAAATGTGCTTAATTATTTAAATGCCTACATGAATTGTTTTGTAGACATTTGGACAATAGACATTGTTGGTATTTGTAGGAACATGTCAATTCTTGCAAAGAAATGGTTTATTATTGTTTACATTTATTATAACTATACTATGTATAATATACAAATGACTATATCCACATAAGACTTAATAAAACAATATAATATAATAATATATTATAAAATATATAATTTTATTCCTTGTATTATATTATATGATTTAACTTTTTATTAACCATGTCCATATCAACAGTACCTAGTTTTAACTCATCTTATGGTGGTGATTAAAAATTAATTAATTAACTTCTTTTTAACTGAGTTAAGCATTTTAGTATTTAATATATTGTTTATTAACTATTAACTTAACTTACTGAAATAATGTTTCTCATAAATTTGCCCACCTTTGATAATGACAAAATTCAATAAGATTCTTGTCCTCAAAACTTAATACTCTTAAATAAGTCTTGTAAAGTACCTATTTGAGTAAACGTATTTAAATACTTTTATAGGTAGTTTATGGAATACTGTATTCAGTATTGGACAAATTTGTATTTGTAATTCAAATGCTTTTGTGTAAATACTTAAAAATTCAAAACAATTATTATTCATCAGTCGTCAGGTATCAGATTTTTTTTGAAAATAATTTTATTATTTTATTTATAATATCAATATAATTATAATATTATATTTTGTTCACTCATAAATTTTGAGAGCTCCTATTGACGATTACTTGCTTATGATTATTACAAATAATATACTGATTTCTGATACCTCTGTCCTCTATAGAAACCCAGTACACTTGTTAATCAATTAAAATCAATTTTGAAAATTGAATATACCTCTTAAAATAATAATGTCTCACCTAGTAAAATAATTAAATTAATTTCTGTTTTTATTAACAACTGTCTAATTACCAAAGAATAAAGTATTTCAAAATTATTATAAAACAAGTTTTATTTTCATTTTTTAGTATAAAGTTAAGTAGGAGTACAACCTCCATTTACCTTTAGTACCTAATTAGATGTAACATTATACTATTTTAAATTAGTAATACAAAAATAATTTTACAAACAGACTTTTATTAAGTAAAATAAAAAAAGTATTTAAATATATGGCAAGTATATTTTGTATTTGTACTTAAATTCTGAATCAATAATGTACATTATATTATTATACATATTATTATTATACATTATATGTTAAGTAAAAACATTTTAAATTTGGTAATTTATTCAATAAAATTTAAAAATTTTCTCAAACTAAAATGTATGTAATAGCAAATTAATTATATTTTTATATACATAGTGATCGAACTTATATTCTAACAATCATTTACTCATGCTCATTTGTATATATTTTTCTCAATAAAAATATAATTATAATTAATTGTATAATATTTGAATGTATATTTAATCAACACATAATTTTTATAATATTTATAACACAGTATATAGATTGTATATTATATATTGTGATAATGCTAATTCTCTGATTATTATCACTTTGATTTTTTTTTTCCTTGGTTTTTTTTCCGGGATTCGAGTTTTCGCACTGAGATTAATGAGTATGGAAAACCTTTATATATAAATCAATATGAACTAGGGAGTCACAAGGGAGAGCTAGAAAATGTCAAAAAGTGCCATCTAGTAGTGATGCTACGAGCTTATTTGGTATTGCTAAAATGTTAACTATAGTATTAGCTGCTAATTATTAGAACTATACAATAGCATCACATTATCAGCTGTTTATACAAAATTGAAAATAGCAATAGCAGCTATTTATCACTGCTATTTTACATTAGCAATAGCAATAGCTATTGCTATTTAAAAAAATAGCATTTTACCATCACTACTGCGGTCTAAGACTCTGAGACGCATGTTAATATTGTTGAATATTGTTTGGCAAATGGCTCCATCCATATTATTACTATATTATGATTTAAGATAGTAGTGTGGCGAACCAGTGGTTTCACCACAATACTCTCTCAACTCCGCACAGTGGGAGGAATACGAGTTCTAGCTGGCCAAAATGTATATAATTAAACCATCGTTTTAATTTTAAATTTATATGAATACTTATACACAGGTACTTGGTGATAGTAAATGAAGCACTATCGATTATATTTATTAGCGGGGCACAGCGATAAGCTCTGTTTAATGTCATTAGATTATTGAATTCTGTACAGTTTATCATTTGTGTTCGTACGTTGCAACGCATCGTTGTAGGCCTTTTTCCAATAATTTAGAAAAATAATTTTTTTTTAAATTATTAAAATGGACGAGCCGATGTTGGATTTAGAAGGTACGATTTTCATTTCAATTTATTATTTTGATAAAAATATATACATGATTTAGGTCTTCAATGATTTAGGTTTTTAGGTATTAATTTTACCCTAAATAAGGTAGAAAATAATTGTATAGCCTCTTAGAGGTTTAATTTATAGCTTTATATAAACCTAAATACGTGTGATTTAATATGATATACTAGTTTTTACCCCCTGAACCCCCCTAATTGATTTATTGATGTTTTTCCAGACAAAAATATCAATAAACAAAATATAAAAAATAGTTGTTTGTTTGATATATGTTTGGAAAAAGGATTTAGTACACATTCAAGTGAAATGAAAAGTTTATTGTTGGATTATGTAAAAAATAAACTTGGTAATAAATGTAATTTTGATAATGAAGAAATTAAAAAATGTTTGTCGAATAAAATTGATTAATTTTGTAGTACTGCGTATAACAAATGGAAGGAGTCGAAGTATTGTGTAAGAAAGTTTAAAAAAAAAAATTAATTTTGGCTATAATTACATTTTAATATTCCTTACGTAGTAAATTGTGATGTACCTAACCAACCATCGACAATTTCCGGTAGGCCACCCAAAGTCTTCGCTGACCTAAGGGGTGCGACTCGTTTGCGCACATTTACCTTTTTTACGGCACGTTTGCGCACAAAATCACAACTCGTTTGCGCACACATATTTTGGGTTTAAATTATAAAGGTACAACTCATTTGCGCACATTTCACTTTGAGCAGAACAGCACATTTCTCTTCTCACTTTAATATAGGCTTGGGACCATCTGTTTTGTACAGATTAAAAATGTGCATGTCGTGTGTGTCTGTTCTGAATAAATATATAATTATACAATTAATAAGAAGTAATAGTGGTTCTATGCGTGTTTTTAATTTTTAAAATTTTATATTTTTTTATTATTAACTAACCTTACTACATCACTCAAGGAACATTTTTTATTTGTACACCTAAAATGTGTATCACTAGATTTTAAAGTTCGAAATTCTCTTTCAAAAATATCACAAATTTCGATATCCATAGTCACTAGTCAGTAGGTAGT